AGAGAAGCGACCAAATTTTACATTGGTATCATAAGTTCAGGTCCAGCGGAGATGAGCACATTGACACACATTGTTCCTGTGCTGTGACCTCTTCTGCAAAAACATCTGCACTGATAAAAATGGCAAAATCTTTTTTGTTGATAAATTAGGTCATGTTTAAGCCAAGCCCCAGTTACAATTATTGTTGTACACTGTCATCTACAAATTTATAAAATAAAATGAAAAATCTGGCGTATTGTGGATGCTAAAAAAAAAAAGTTTGTATCTGTGTCTCATGTCATCAAGGCTCTCGTTGTGAGTTGATAGACTGTGTTTTGCAGGTCAGACTCAGTAAATCTCTGTTGTTGTTCTGTTCTGTTTTTTCGAGCTGACTCACTGACCTTCAGCTCTACTCCCCAAACAACCTGCACCACAGTGTTGCAGAAAAACAACACGCAAACTCAGACTCACATCTGTGCACAACCATCAGCCCTGTGTTTTTGAATCTGTATAAGTCCACTTAGAAAGGAGGAGGAGGAGGAGGAAGAGGACATGGAGGGGGATTTGTTTTGACCGTCCGGCAAAAATCATGGGACTGAGATAACTGGGAAGCCCATGAGGAGCTGTGGATGGTGGAAATAGATAGAGCAGGAGCTGTGGGTTTTTTTTATCTTTGTTTACCCAGAACAACATCACTTCTGTTTACATGGTCACTGAATGTCCAAAACTTAAACCCTGTGTCCGCTTTCCCTAGTCAGTCAAATGATGTAGTTAAATGGTAAGGGTCAGAGTTTTGTCTTATTGTTTCATTCAAAGTTTTTCTGCGAATCAGTGTATTTATACACTGATTGTCTTCCAACTGTAAACTGTTTGATTCCAGCAACCAAAGAATGTTTCCCAGGGAAAGACACTAATTCCCATATCGTTGATTACAGCCCAACTATAGGGAACGACCACAGTCTGTGTCCACTCCCACTGGAGAAGGGAGCGGCCCGAAGTAATTACGATTTCTGCTGTGTTTTGTTTATTGTCTTGTCATTTTTTACAGCAATGTTGTGGTGGCAGCTTTATTAGTAAGCACAATGGTGGAGCTGTTATGAACTGGAAGAATACATTTCCAATTGTCACATCAGAAGCAAGTATTTATATTTACTCTCTCCCTCCTTCGAGAAGGTTTAGGCAACACCAGTGCTTTGTTTAACATAGTGGTTTCCAAAGTGTGGGGCGGGGCCAACTTAAGAGGTGCTGAGCTATTGCACTGGGAAAGGGGAAGTGACACAGCTAGGCAAATGAATGTTCACATCAACATTGTTGTTTTTTTTTTACTTTACCATATCCTGGAATTTAGTTTTGGTACCAACAACTGCCATCTTAAAAAGCGGTCTTGGCCTGCGTTGGAGTGGAGTTACACCAGACCGCTTTGCATGGTGGAGTCAATCAGGAGGCTGGAATCTCATCAGAGCCTGTAATCATCCCAGATGTAACCATCTACTGGTTGTGTCTCGCCTGAATGGCTACAATAACAGGTTCATTAATAGCAGACACTCATGTGTGCAGTTTATTCCAGTCCAAAGCTGTGCTAACATGAACAAGTTTCTTTTTTAAGAAAATCCCTGACTTTTCTTAATATCACGTCAAGCTTAAATTTTGTGATTGCTTTAAATGTTTTAGTTCTCTATTTTTTTTTCTGTCTCCAAATTTGTTTTTTTTAATCCCTAACCTCAACTCCAAATTCTCCAAAATTGTTTTTTTTAATCCCTAACCTCAACTAAATTCCAGCTTTTGTTTTTTTTTCATTTCCCCCTAAAATTGAGAAACAACTCTGTGCTTTGATCCCTTCTGTGCTGCCTTCTTTGGTCATATCTGTTCTGTGTCCCACTGTTTTCAAATCCCTGCATTTTTCCAGCCTCTTCGTC